AAATATGAATGGGTTTAGATGGATGTAAAACTTATCTTTGTATTATCATCCAAGACATTTTTCTTTGTACTTGATCTCATTGCCTGCTTATAACTTACATAGTCTTGACATAGAAGATTATGAGATGAGCAATTCGTGCTGATAACGTGTTATAAAATAAAAGCAACTTAGTAAAACATGAACAAGACATGTTGTTATGAAATAAAAGCAATTTAGTAAAACATGAACAAGAAATGGAGATAGAGAGAAGGAAGAGATTTTCTTCTTCAATTGTGTGTATTTTCCTATCTATTACAAGGCCTTTATATAGGCATGAAAAGTGAAGAAAAATATGTCATTGAATATGTCATTAAGCATAGAAATATGTCATTGAATATGTCATTAAGCATTTGAGAAGATCATGGAGGAAGAGTAGACATCCATCATAATTTGATTTTTCTTATAACAACTGTGTCATTTTATGTAAGCGCACGTTAGTAACGACAAAATATGAATGTGAAAAAGTTAATTAAGGAAAACCTTCTCATTAAAGGGAAGTCAATTGTAAATTGAGTTGAGGTGACTGTAAATAACACCGATGGCCCTACAACAAGAATAAACTATATTCCAACACAAGGCTGCTGGTACAACATTTTGTCTTTTTTATGAATCACTAGGCAACTTCTATTCTATATATGTCGCACGTAATCAATTACGCACGGTACCGGAGTGCACAAATGACAGATGCAGTATCTTGTATTCATGCAAAGTTTGAGGAAGGGTCGCACACTAATGCAATAATATCACCACGCCAACTAACTCACAACCAAGATCAGCCGCAAGCAAAGAAGAAGCTAAAATTTAAAGTTATTGAGTTCTGAATTTAGCATCAAAGCAATATATAGCTTATCTCAGTTACTTTGTTCGCGATTAAATATTTATACATATTTATATTTTCTAATACGAATAAGGTTTAAGCAAAAGCCATTGGATTCAGCCGAACCCGCACCACATACTCTAGCTCCACCCCACTCAGCAAATACTATAAATAAATTAGCATCTTTCTAATAACAAGATCCATCGTAGATAATCAAAAACTATAAATAGATTATTAGGAGAAAGAGAAAGGGAGCGAAAGATAGTCACTAATGGAGGCCAAGAAAAACACCACTAGGGTACTCATGGTACCATGGCTAGCTCATGGACATATAAGTCCATTTCTAGAGCTAGCCAAGAAACTCACAAATAGAAACTTCCACATTTACATGTGTTCCACTCCTGTAAATCTAAGCTCCATCAAGAAAAATGTCACAGAGAAATATTCTCAGTCAATAGAATTAGTTGAGCTTCATCTTCCATCTTTGCCAAATCTTCCTCCTCATTACCACACTACCAATGGCCTCCCACCCCATCTCATGAACACCCTCAAAACAGCTTTTGAAATGGCCGCTCCAAAATTTTCCAAAATATTAGAAACTCTAAATCCAGACTTGGTCATTTATGACTACAATCAACCATGGACTGCTCAGTTGGCTTTATCTATGAATATTCCTGCTGTGCAGTTGCTCACATTTAGTGCAGCTGTTGTTGCTTTGGGCATCCACATGTCTGAAGACAAAGAAGAGAAGTTCCCGTTCCCTGAAATTTACCTGCGCGAATATGAAATGTTTTCCTTGAAGAAAGCTATTAATGAATCACCAGGTAAGGAGTTCCCATTCGGCGAGGCTCTTAGGCGATCACGCGACATTGTTCTGGTGAAAACTTGCAGAGATTTTGAAGGGAAATATATGGATTATCTTTCAAATTTGGTCACCAAGAAAATTGTCCCGGTTGGCACACTAGTTCAAGAATCCACTGACCAAGCTGAACATGAGGAGATCATGCAGTGGCTTGACAAGAAAGAAAAAAGTTCAACCGTGTTTGTCTCATTTGGGAGTGAGTATTTTTTATCCAATGAAGAAATCCTTGCAGTAGCTCAAGGGCTAGAGCTTAGCAAAGTGAACTTCATTTGGGTCATTAGGTTTCCACAAGGTGAAAGAATTAGTATTGCAGATGCAGTACCAGAAGTGTTTCTTGAAAGGGTAGGCGAAAGAGGAAAGATTTTAGAAGAATGGGCTCCTCAAGCAAATATTCTTCAACACCCATCAACAGGTGGGTTCGTGAGTCACTGCGGATGGAGTTCTTTCATGGAAAGTATGAAGTTTGGTGTGCCCATAATTGCAATGCCAATGCACATTGACCAACCAATGAATGCTAGGCTTGTGGAATATATTGGGTTGGGAGTTGAAGCAGTGAGGGACGAAAACGGGAAACTACAAAGTGAGGAGATTGCAAAGGCGATAAGGAAAGTGGTAATGGAGGAAAGTGGGGAGCCTGTGAGGAAGAAAGCAATTGAATTGAGTGAGAAGATGAATGAGAATGGGGAAGAAGAGATAGATGGTGTGGTGGAAGAGCTGGTTTCACTTTGTGGTAATAAATGATTAGCAATAAGATTTCAACTTTCAAGTTATATCTATTAAAAAAAAAAGTTTAAACTATCATGTCACTCTTAATGATAATTACCTTAAAATGAACAAAACCTTCACCATAATGTAAATTGTATCCATGAAAACATGAAATGAAGTTTCCAAGAGGATTGCTACACAGGCATGGCATTCACTCTATATCCAATTTTTAGCAAGTACAACTGCCATTTCGTTGTCTCAATTATCTTCGATGTGTTTTAAGACCTATTCCAAGCCAGCATTATCATTGATCAGAACAGAGTGTTAACATCACATGATCGACAGAGAAATAAGCACAGTTTCGTTCATTAAGACATGATATCAAACAAAGGGGAAGTACCAGTGGAACTAGTTAAGATAACAATTCAGCATTAAGCCAACAAGAAAACTCATTTTCAAGCATTTTGCAGAGGCGCACATAGCAAAAACAATCAGTGACGCATTACAACAAACACATTGTTGGCATAAAAATTGCATTAGTATTTAGTAGTTGAGAAAGAACTACCTGCCAAATTGGAGTCCAAAAATAATGACACATTTCTATATTTAGAAACAATGCAACTTTAAACTTCTCAAATTATACTTAATGAGATAATTTGTAGCTGCACAAACGTCTATGGCTTGTTTTAAACCACAAGTTTCAAAAGTCTTTCTTTCTTTCTTAAACTCAGTGCCCAGTCAAACACCGTTACATAAGATGGGACGAGCTTCAACAAATGAAGCATCAGACTGTAGGAACTAATTGCATTAATCCTTGTGGAATCAAAATCCAACGCAAAGAAATATCAAAGAAGGATAGAATTCATACCTGAGTTTCGCAGAAAATGCAGCGAGGGAAGTGTGCGGACTTGTTATCACAGTGAGATACAACAACAATAGAGGCTGTTTTCAATAGACCATAAGTTCCCTGTCTTCAAGAACTCTGTATCGATACGCTCTGACTCGAACTTACAACCTATTGATTAAAGTGTGAATGCGCACTGCTATAGCAACTCAATCTTGTCGTCTCACTGTGTTATCACAGATGATTACATGCATAAAAAACATAAAGTATAGACAGGACAAAGTTTTAAAACATAAAAGGTAGAGGGAAAAAATATAGAAAAATGTAAGTTTTTAGCCGGTTTCAAAAAATAATAGTCATCAATTTTTTT